GAGGCAAATTACTTCAACTACAGAGAGAGGAGGGGGCAGAAGTGGGACCTAGGCAGAGCCTGACAAGCTTCAGCTCAAGCTGTGCCTCAGCTGTCCTAACACAATTCTTACAGGTTCTTAGATTCATCCCTCATTACATGCTCTTCTTTCCATTTTTTTCTTGTGACGGAGCATAACAGAAAGCTTCCTGTGTAACCACGCTGATCTCTTTAAATGGTTTCCACTTTTTCTTCTTCCTAACTGTCAGAAATTCACAGGGGGAGACTCCCTCCTTCCTCCTTCCTCCACTACAAGTTGTCTTTCCTCTGCTCAGTTGGAGGGCATTCCATCACTCTTCCTGAAGTCTGGGTCCTCTCAGAAATGACCCATCTTTATCCCTTTATCCTCCTACTGTTGCCACTGCTGACCCAGGAGCAGATGGAGAAAAGGGCTGTTCAGGACCTGCCATCTCTGGGAACCAGCAGCCCAGCTCTCCACCTTGGCTATTCTGCTTCAGGGGCCCGATAGAAGCCAATGGCTTCCCTTCCCCCATCCCAATTTCTTGTGTCATCTAGATTGGTAGAATGAGTGCTTCCTCTGACAGCTGAAGTGCTACCATTTCTCCTTTGTGTACTTTGAGTACTGTGTGAGTAAGTTTTTGCTAAATTGTGTTCCTGTAATAAATGGACCTTTGTGAGACACTTTTCGCTTTGTGTGTGCTGGGGGAGAGGGAGGGAGTCTTGCCTGAGTGACTTCCTACAGAAAGCTCCAGAGGTGCTCAGAGCTAATAGCCTAGGTCTGGCAGGCTGCTCTTTCATTGGCACTCGAGGGTGTCAATCACGGTGCCCCTTCCAATCAGCTGTGAATTGGGTATCTGTGAGCGATTAACCTTCTTTGTTAAAGAGAACACTAAGCCCTCCAAGGATTAAACAAAGAATGGCTCTGGACAACTTCTAGGTGGGCAAGGCAGTCCTGCCCATTTTACTAATATTAACTTTCGTTTCATCCTCCTTCAGGTCCTATGTCTACTTTATTCCCTTATTCCTACAACCAGGCCAGTCCTAGGTCCCTTTCAATATGACCTTTGCTATTACCTTCTGATAGGTATTTCTTCACTTTCACCCTACTGCTGCTCTCTTGTTCAGTCTCCTAACTAGCTTCCCTGCCCTCAGTCACCTCCCCACCCCTAGCCCATTTTCTTCCATGAAGCCAAATCAATTTTCAAAAAATGCAAATCTGATTATGTCACCTGCTGCTGAAATCCCTTCACCCTCTTCTGTGGCTCAGTACCCTTGGGATAAAGTCCAAACTCCTTAGCATGGCACTCAGGGCCCTTGATGATTTAGCTCCTGCCAAATCCCCAACCTCCTCTTTGGCAGTGTTCCCACTTCATACCTACAATAAACTATTTTGCAGGTTTCTGACCATGCCATTCCTGGCTTTGCTTCTGGGCTTTTACATATGACATTCCCTCTGCCTGGGACATCCTTCACACACTCTTATCTGTCTAGCCAATTCTTACTCATCCCTGAAGACTTTAAATAAACTCCATCAACCCAAGACATATTTCACTCTGATGCCAAGTACAGCAGCTGGGATATAATACATCTTCAAATAATGTTTGCTGAATGAATGCCCCCAACTCAAATAACTATGTGCAAAATCATCTCTGAGGGAAGCTTGTGGAATTGATCAATCTCTCCCTCTGCAGGAGGGAAGCCTCTCTTCAGTATCATCATTATGACACTGTTAAATTACTTCTTTAACATGTGCACCTCCCTAATCCAGCTGTGCCATCTCCAGAGCAGAGCGTTATCTGATCCACTCCAGTCTCCTGAGTCCTCAGATTAGATCTTTGAACACAATGAATGATAAGGATTCCCAATGGTTCACAATTTTGTCCCTTGTCTCATATTCCTGTGCTCTCCTCCCGACAAGCTCTCACAGCCAATGTAGCCACACTGTCACAATCCTGGTTTCACGACCACACAAGGCCTCTCTTACGCCCTGGAGGAGCACTTCTACCACCCACCCACCCAAACCAATATACTTCTTTATGAACCAGCCCAAAATTTCCCTCTTCAACAGACGGTGGTGGTGGAGGACTCCAGGTGCTTTGGTGGCAGCAGAGTTACAGTGACTATACCTGAGGGGAGAAATACTACATTATCAAAATATTTTTAAAAAGATGTAAAACAACAAAGAATAAAATTTTGCCTCTTCCTGAAACCTTTCATGCATCTCCCTTCCCCCAGCCCACCTCTGAATAGTGCTGATGATTCCCACTTATCTCACTTAGCCCCTGGCATCCCCTCATCTCACTCAGGAGGAAACCCAGAGTCAGAGAGAGAAATTACTCTCTCAAGTGCATAGGCCATGTCTGGCGGGAGAACTATTCCTGAACTCATTTGCAGTCCACGAATCCCCCCACTAGCCAATATATATGCCTTGTTTCCTCACGTGAACCACAATTTCTCTTTAAGGCAGGCTTAAGTTTTCTACACGCACCCTGCTTCCCCCCCTTCACTTCTCCACCCCCTCTTGTCAGGGCTTTATGGGGGAAGTGTTAAAAGCTCTAGAGCCAGCCTGTCTGGGTTTCTATCTGGGCTTGTAACCGTAGGTATCTTAAACACTCTAAACCTCACCTTCCTCCTATGTAGATGAAGATGATAATAGTGTCTATCTCATAAGACAGTTGTGACGATTAAACGACATAATGCATGTAAAGTATCTACAGCAGTAACAAGCACCTAGTACACACTCAACAAACATTATTATTTTATTGTGATTATTCTTCATTCAAACATATGCCTGCTGGTATGTGCTGGCAATGGTTAATACAAAATTAGAGTGTGGGAGTGGGAGGGAGAGAGGAAAGGAAGTAGACAACCCTCTCGGTCTGAGATCTGGTGGAGTCCAAACAAGGTTAGTGGCGCGGCAGGACGTTTTTACGTCTGAGTTCCTGGTGCCATGTGACTGGGTGAGGGCCCCAAGCACATGGTTCTTTCAGGGCGGCGCAGCTTCCCTAACTCTCGCTTAGCTATTCTCAGCAGCCGGTAGGGGGAGCCAGGAAGCTAGGACAGGGGAGAGGCTGCTGGAAATCTTACTAAGGGCAGAAGCGGCACCCCATCACTACTACCCATCTTAGCCCGCTGTTTTGCCCCCTCCCGGACACTCTCCAAGCTCTATCCTTTCCCGCAGCTAAGCTGGGAGCTGTCCTTCAGCACCAGAGGCCTCCTTGGCCTCGGGCAGGACAGTGAGGGCGATAGCAGAGTTAGGGACGCGGGACTCGTCCGATCCGCAGCCGGCTCCAGCGTCGCCTAGTCACGGGGATGAGGGAGGCGACCCAGAGAGGCAGCGAGACGCTCAGGAGCTGCTTCCTGCCTCCAAGAATCATCCCCAGAAGTCCCCAAGCCCCGGGGGGAGTGAGTGGCTGGAGAGGGTGAAGGGTGTCCGGATGGCCGGGGGAAGGGTGCGCAGGGGCCTGGGAAACAGCGTGTGCCGGCGTCTGCACGCGGGGAGCGGGCAGATAAACCGAGGAGCTCAAGTGAATGGAGTTGGGGGTGGACTGGAAACATCCCCAAACAGCACAGGCTGCAGCCGGCGGGGGCTGGGGGTGGGGGGAGTCCTGAGGCGCAGGCGCAGTCGGGGCCCCAGTCCCGCTCCCTCCTCCCCTCGGTGCCTGTTTCTCCGCCCCGCTCCCCCCTAAACACACTCGCACACGGGCTCTCAAGGTGTTCTCCGCACAGCGGAAGATGGCGACAGACTGAGGGGGCATGGCCAGCGGGAGCCACGGGGCCGTGCCGCTCGGCGGCCGCCACGGTGGAGCGAAGGAGAGGCGGAAGCGAGAAGCGCACTAAGTAAAGCTGGGCGTCCGCGTCCGGCGCCTGTGGCGCTGCCGAGGAGCCAGGTGGCCCGCCCGAGCCGGAACTCCGGGAGCAGCCGGCGCGGAGCCGGAGCAGAGCCGGC